ATGGATTTGTTCATTCTTTTGGGAGCCCATGGTATTTTCAATATTATTTTATCTTCATCTATATGAATTAAACTGACTAGAATACTACAGAATCAAGAGGTTCCTAGCAGCAGATCCTGGTCTGAAGATGGAAAAGGTTATCTTAGACCATGGATAAGACACATTACCTGCAATAAAGAGCATGAGTTAAGTATTATAATTAGTTTTTAGTTCTTTTTTTAGCTAGATCTAGCACAGTACTTGGCAAACACACAGTAATGATAATAGTCATTAAAATGCAAATACTACTGCTACTACTAATAGTAACACTTTATATAGAGAGAGTGCATGGCATGCACAGACCTTGTTAAGTGTTTTAAATACATTATCTCATTTGTATCACAAGAACCCTATGAAGTTGTTTACTGTTATTATCTCCAGTATAGAGAAGAGAAAACTGCTACACAGGGAGATTAGGCAATATGCTCAAAGTCCCACAGCTTGTAAGTGGAGGAGGCAGGATTCAAAATAAATGTGTTTAAATCCAAGCTCTGCATTTTTATCTAACTTACATTGAGTGAAGGCATTTCTAGAATGACAGGAGTAGATGCTACAGGGAGTTGAGAGGTAAGTGAGAGGCAAGAAAGTGAAGGCTGAAAGTATAGCTTTATCTTTAAGAAAGTTTGAGTAAGGAGGGATGGAGAGGATAGAAGGGACAGCTAGTGGGAGACACAGAGTCAAAATGTTAAAATTGTTGTATAACCAAGCAGCCCAAGCTTAAAGGCATAGTATAACCACAGTTTCACTCTGCTCAAAGAGTCTGTGGGTTACATATTTTGAATGAGCATGCTGAGGTAACTCATCTTTTCTCCATGATATCTGGGGCTTCAGCTAGGAAGATCTGAAGGCTAAGGTTGATTCAACAGGCTGAAACTGGAATCACCCAAAGCCCATTTGCTCACAAAGTCTGGAACTTGATACTGATCGTAGGCTGGCGGTTGAGAACGTGACTTGAGCTGTGGGAACAATCCTTGCACATCTCAGGCTGTTTGAGCACCTGTGCAGCATGGTGGCCAGATGCCAAGAGTAAGCATTCCATGAGAACCAGACAGAAGCTCTACCTCCTTTTATGACCAGGCCTTGGCAGCTGCACAGGGTCTCCTTCCCTTTCACCCCCCAGTCACAAGCCCACCCAGATTCAAAGTTGGATATAAATTCTACATCTTGATGGGAGGAGTGCCAGAAGAGCATGCAGGTTGGGAATTATTATTTCAATCAATTATTATTACAATCTGGCACAGCATCCAATAAAAACACTTCAAATTGCTTAACCTTTTCCTCCTCTGAACAGAGGCTGCTGTTGGGAGCCTGCTTGGAACGTTTTTTAAATTAGTCAACAACGCTTCCACAACATGCATGGAGATTCTGGGTATGTTCAGACGTGCAGGATAAGGGATAAATTGGATGGATTTTCAAAGCACCTTTGAAATAATCCCTGCAGTCTCGCTGGATGTTGAATGGGGTTGTGTATGCCCCTTTTATGTGGAACAGCTTCAGTTTCATTTTTTTAGGGTGTTAAATCTTAGAGGGGGCTGCTTGGCTATTTAACTCTGGCCAGTTTTATTATATTACTGTATGCTTCTTGGTTTCTTTTTAACAAAAATTCCCAAATGGTAGTAATGACAATACCTTTTTAAAATTGTCATTTACAGCATTGAACGTATTCTGTGGTTGGTGTTGGCTAAGTGTATTAGTTTCCTAGGGCTGCCATGACAAATGATTACAAACTAAAAGGCTTAAAACAATATAAATTTATTCTCTCATAGTTCTGAGGCCAGAAGTCTGAAATCAAGGTATTGGCAGGACGTGCTCTCTCTGAAGGCTGTAGGAGAGAATATGTTTCGTGCCTTCCTCTTAGCCTCTGGATATTGCTGGGAATTCTTAGAGTTCTGTTGCTTACAGGTGCATTGTTCCACTCTCTGCTTCTGTTGTCACATGGCATTCTCCTCTGTGTGTCTGTGTCTGTGTCTCTTCTCCTCATACAAGGACACCAGTCATACTGAATTCGATTCAGTCTAATGACCTCAACTTGATTACATCTGCAGACCCCATTTCCAAATAAGTTCATGTCACAGGAACCGAGGATTTCAACCCTTAACACTAAGTATTGAAAAAGTAATTATATTAACATAACTTCTTTTGCCTAAGATGAAAGCTACAGATTCTCATTTTTTTCATGTACCAGCTAATAGCTGTCTGAAGAGATTTCATAGGCATCTAGAATTACATCTTTCTTCTATGAGATGTTATCATTCTGTCCTCAAGTGAAGAGTATCCTTTGTAAGTTCATGAGGCATCCACTTAATATTCTTACATTCTTTTGAAGACAGTGACATAAGTTCCATGCTGCTTTTAAAACCCAGTGCTGACTTTGATTCCATCTTCTCACTGCTCACTTCTAACTGTCAAATTTGGCTAAGGGAAAAAGAAAGCCCTTAAGAAAAGTCTGGGCTATTAATGTGCTCTTCAAAATGCTAAGAAAAGGCTAAGCTGTTTATAGCATTTTCGAAATGCTCATCTCTGGGAGCTTGCTAGCAATAGTGTCAAGGTGAAATACACTCTTGTTCATCAAGGAACTGAGAGCCTTTGTGTTTTTTTGTGCTGCAAAGTATCAGTACAGCTTTTGTTAGACGAGCAATTTGGGGGTATAATGATACTTGGATATAATTTAAACCAAGATATAATCATGAACCTAGTATTATGTGTTTACTGTAAAAGTGCGTACTGCCTGATAAACTGTGCCTGGCTTCTCTGGCTGTAACTGTACTTCAGTCTCAAAGGGAAAAGTTCCCGACGTTTATTCACTTTGTATAACTTTAAAGGAGGTAAAAGGCAGGGGTATCATTAGCAAATCTGTTCCTTGGAATCTTTTTTGCTGAAAACTTAGTTAAATGTTTAGTTTCATCTGCCTCCCTTTGGTGAATGACTTTTGCCTTGATTAAAAGACAGCATCCTTAACAACAGAATTGTATATTCATTTTTGGAGGCTATTTGATTTTTTGTGTGTCACAGAGCTCACTCATTTGGTAAGCTTTTGGAAATTCCTTTGACAAATGTTGCTTATATTTAAAAAAATGCACAAATAAAGAACAGGTAAATTGATCAATTTTCTTGGTTTAATTTAGACACAAGCCATTCAGGATTTTTGTACTTACTCTGTCTCTGTCTCTGTCTCAGGGAACAAATGCCCATGGTTATGCTCTTTTTGCAATAAATCATAGTAGTTTGGTACAGTAGATGGGGCATAATGATACTTGGATATAATTTAAACCAAGATATAATTATGAACCTACTATTGTGTGTTTACCGTAAAAGTATATACTGCCTATTCTCTCATATTCTCATTATTCTCTCATAGTTCTGAGGCCAGAAGTCCAGTACCAGTTTTTCCTTCATGGACAAGTCATTTATCTTTAAAAACTTCAAGTCAGTTAGATGGTGTTGAAGTTCTAGGAAGCAGTATGTCTTCGTAGATGATAACATGGTTTGATTCTTGGCTGCACCACCCATTAGTTGTATGACTATGAGTAAGTCACTTGCCTGGGCTTCCCTTTTTTATCTGTAAATTCTTGATAGCTGCTTCTCAGTTAAGATTACATTAGAAACAACTACACAGTTAGTACCATCTCAGTATTAAACCAGTGGTAACCATTCAGGAAATTGCAGCCATCTTTATTTTCCCCATCCTTAAAACAACATGAAATGTATCATTTGTTCATTGACTATTAGTAGTTCCCTTCATTAGTGGCTTTTAGCCGATCTAAATGTTTGCTAGTTTTTCCAAAGAGTAAATAGGTATTTGATAGATATATTCTTAATATTATTTTAAACCATCTTTTTAAAATTAAACTTCTGATTTGGAGATAAGACACAGAGATACTGTGTATATAATGGTACACAGTTTTCCCCAGTGGTAAAAAATTAACCAAATCCATTGGCATCTAGTTGACTGTAACTCATGGCAACGCTACGTGTCACAGAGTAGAACTGCTCCACAGAGGTTCCTTGGCTGTAATCTTCATGGAAGCAGATTACCAGACCTTTCTTCCACGGAACTGCTAGGGGGGTGTGAACAACAACCCTTTAGGTTGGTAGTTGAGCACAAACTTCATGACCTAGGGACTAATATATTGTAAAGCTGTAATATAATATCATAACTGGGATTTTGAAAGTGATACACTTAATTTTACCCTTTTGTAGTACCCCTGTCCCTGACCTTAGGCAATTACTAATCTATTCTTCTTGTCACTAATTTTTCATTTCAAGAATGTTTATAAAAAAGGCTTCATGCAGTATACAACTTTTTGGGATTGGCCTTTTTTTCCCCCCCATGCAGCATAATTCCTGGAGCGCTATTAAGCTGTACGTCTGATGAACCAAAAAATCCTTATGAATATTGCCACATTTTATTTTGGCAGCAGAATTTTCATTAGCTGAAAGTGCTTTGTACAGTACCTGGCACACAGTAAAGGCACAGGGAAGCCCTGGAGTGGTATTCCTATCCCACCCACTCTTACTCTTCCTCCTCTTGCTCTTCCCTCCCTCCTTTTCCTGTTTTCTTGCCGCTTCCTCTCTCACCCTCTTACCAATATTATCTGCTAAAGTCAATAGCTGAAGTTAGAAGACTAAAAAAAGTTAACTAAAATAATTTATGTGAAATTTCTTTGTAACTTGCAAGACTCATCTGATTTTTTAGACTGTAAGAAACTGTACATCAGCGCTGGCCACATTCTAAGAATGGTCTGTAGCTGCTTGTGGTGTATACTGATGTGAATAAAGACAACAATGTGAGCAGTATTTCTTTCCACTCTGTGCACGTACGCTCTGCCCTCTGCTCTGCTATTTCAGTGGGAGCTGCTAACTAACAAAGCCCCTCTGCTTTGTTGCAGGCAACAAAGTCCCAGGAACAAAACACAAACTTCAGTTCATGTTTGTTATAAAGACTTTTCTCTGAAAAATAGCCTCCTACTTCTAGTTGCCAGGAGTTAAACCTAGTGAGCTCCTTCCTAAAAAGCGTCAAGAAGTACCGAGTATTGTTAGAACGCTGGAGTTCTCATTTCTGCATTCCAGGTCAAAAGCCCACAGGCATACCTGACAAAGCCCTTCAGGAGGGAACCTAACTATGGTGCACCACTTACAGCATTTCTTCCTGTAACTTTGTTGCTCAGATTCAAAGCCCTGCACTAATGACCACTAAGTGGGGTTAAACCTTTGGTCTGATGGAATTTCATCTATTCATAAATACAATAAAAGGAGAAGAATCTTGCCAGTGTATTATCAGTATATTAGTCAGGATAGGATAAGGTATGCTCTGGTAACAAATAAACCTCACCATCTAGATGCAATTAAAGATTGGTTTCTCTCTCATGCAAAATCAAGTGAAGCTTGGGCAATTCTCCTTCAGCTTATAGCTATGTGACCTGAACTGTGTGACCTCCAAAGTCACCACTGAAGGGGAAAAGAGGGCTAGGGAATTTCACAGGATGTTTTTAAGTAGGGTGAGCTTACATCCTAGCTTGCCTAAGATAGTCATAATCTATGCCTGATGATTTGGAATAATGGTTGATATTCTCTCCTTTTACTCTCCAGAGAGTCCCAGTTTAGACAATACATTAAAGTGACCACCTCTGAATGCCAAACTGCAGTGTTTATCATAATTTCTGCCTATTTCCTGTGGGTCTAACCCTAATTTACAAGGGTTTTGAGACTTGTAGAGAAGCAAGTCTGTATTTTGGTGAGCATTAATTGTTTCTAGCACAATAGACATTCATAGGAATCCTATGAATGTGTAAATAGAAATAATAACTTCAGTTACTAAAATTCTGTTTAGCAGATGTTTATTAACCAAACCATCTCATTTAAACACACCTTGTGGTAGGCTGACAGGTTCCTGGGTGGTACAAATGGTTTGCACTTGACTAGTGACCTAAAGGTTTACAGTTCAAACCTACCCAGCAGTGCCATGGAAAAAAGGCCTGGCAATCTGCTTCCCTAAAGATTTCAGCCAAGAAAACCCTACAGAGAAGTTCTACTCTGTAACATATTCCATTCCAGTCATCACGAGTCAGGATCAACTCAAGGGCAATGCGTTCGGGTTTTTGGTTTGTGGTACGCTGAATAATGCCCCCCCCCCAAAGAGGCCTACCCTAATACCCCAAACCTATGAATATTACCTTATGTGGAGATAGGGGCTTTGCAGATGTGATTATGGATCTTGAGATGGAGAGATGATTCTATAGGCATACTTCATTTTATTGTGCTTCTGAGATACTATGTTTTTACAAACTGAAGTTTCGTGGCAACCTTGCCTTGAGCAAGTCTATCAGCGGCATTTTGCCAATAGCATGTGCTCACTTCATGTCTATGTGTCACATTTTGGTAATTCTTACAATATTTTGAAATTTTTCTTATTGCACACTTAATAGACTATAATATAGCATAAGCATATGCACTTTTATATGCACTGAGAAACCAAAAAGTTTGGGTGATTCACTTTATTGTGGTACTTGGTTTCTTGTGGTGGTTTGGAACCAAACCCACAATATCTCCAAGGTATGCCTGTATATTATCCAACTGGCCCCTGAGTGCAATCACAAATGTCCCTAAAAGAGGGAGTAGCGGGACATTTAACATCAGAAGGACAAGTGACAATGAAAGCAGAGAGTCAAATGATGCATTTTGAAGATGCAGGAGAGGGCCACCAGCCAAGGAAGCTAAAAACTGCAGTGATCAGACTCTCTTCATAGAGCCACCAGAAGGAACAAGCCCTGCTTACTCCTTGACTTTAATTCAGTGAGAACAATTTCAGATTTCTGACCTCCATACTAGATGAGAATCAACTTGTATTGTTTTAAGCCACTAAATTTGTGGTAAATCTGTTGCAGCAGCCATGGGAAACTGATGCATGTGCACATTCTGAAGTTAACGTGTGACTTCATATTCATGTTTCTAGTTAAAATTGCATAAGAGCTACCTCTATATCTAGGTTAGGAGCTCTGGTAGCATAGTGCCTAAGGCACTTGACTGCTAACCAGAAGGCTGGCGGTTCAAACCCACCAGCCACTCCTTGGAAGGAAGGTTGGGCAATCCTACTTCCATAGTGATACTGCCTCGGAAACCCAAGGAGGGGTCGCTATGAGTCGGGGCCGACTCGACGGCAAACAACAACAACAACAACAACAACAATGTCTAGGTTTCTTTTCTTTACACACAATAAGCAAAATGATAATGACACTATTATTTTGTAACACTAAGAAGAAAATAACAACAAATAAATGTATGTAATAATTTATACGAACCAGATACTGTTTTCATATATAGTAACCTCTGGATGTATAAACAACCCTTTGAGGTAAGTACTATTATTATTCTTACTCTGCACATGAGAAAGTTGAATCTCTGAGACATTAAGTGACTTGCCCAAGCTCCCACAGCCAATGGCAGAGCCAGAATTCAAGCTCAGGCAGAGTGGCTCCTCAGAACCCTTTCCTAACCACTCTGTGCATTGCCCTTCTTCTGGGGCCCCATTATCTATCCAGTTTCCTGCCTCTCCACCATATCTGTCAACCTTCACAAGGCCAAGGCTCTCCCTGGAGTGCACCTGTCCAGTGCGGCCCCTCCTGCTGCTCCCATCTGACTTCAATCTCTTGTTCTTCCCCTCAGCTCAGTGACACGCTGACATCTGCATTTTTCCAGCTTCAGCTTTTGGAAATTTTACAGAAGGACTTCCCTAGGGAATTTCTAAGGTAATTTAGGTTTCAGGTGAAATTACTGAATTTTTAAGTTTGTAGGGAGCTATTATGTGATGTTGTTGTTGTTAGGCACCGTTGAGTCATCTCCGACTCACAGGGACCTCATATACAGCAGAATGAAACACTGCCCAGTGCTGTCAGCCCCGCGGTCTTTGCTATACCTGAGCCCATCGTGGCAGCCACTGTGTCAATCCATCTCGTTGAGGGCCTTCCCCTTTTTTGTTGTCCCTCCACTTCGACAAGCATGATATCCTTCTCCAGGGAGTGGTCCCTTCTTACAACATGACCAAAGTAGGTGAGACAGTCTGGCCATTCTCGCTTCCAAGGAGCATTCCAGCTGAACTTCTTCCAGGACAGATTTGTTAGTTCTTCTGGCAGTCCATGGTAGTTTTGGCATTCTTAGCCAAAACCACAACTCAAAAGCACCGACTCTTCTTTGGTCTTCCTTTATCACTGTCCAGTTCTCATGTGCATATGAGGTAATTGAAAATACCATGGCTGTGTCAAGCACACATAAGTCTTCAAGGAAACATCTTTGCTCTTCAGCACTTGAAAGAGGTCCTTTGCAGCAAATTTGCCCAGTGCTATATGGCATCTGATGTCTTGACTTGTTAGGTGCCCTTGAGTTGTCTCCGACTCACAGCAACCTCATGTACAGCACAATGAAACACTGCCCAGTCCTGTGCCAGCCCCATGATCTTTGCTCTGCCTGAGCCCATCGTGGCAGCCAGTGTGTCAGTCTGTCTTATTGAGGGTCTTTTTTTGTTGTCCCCCCATTTTGCCAAGCCATGATATCCTTCTCCAGCAAATGGTCCCTTCTTACAACATGACCAAAGTAGGTAAGATGATATCTGATATCTTGACTGCTGCTTCTATTGTTGTTGATTGTAGAACCAAGTAATAATAAGTCTTTGACAACTTCAATCTTTTCTCCATTTATCATGATGCTGCTTATTGGTCCCATTGTGAGGATTTTTGTTTTCTTTATATTGAGGTATAATCCATACTATAGACAGTAGTCTTCAGTCTTCATCAGTAAGTGTCTCAAGTCATCCTCACTTTCAGTGAGCAAAGTTGTGTCGTCTGCATAATGCAGGTTGTTAATGAGTCTTCCTCCAATCCACATTCTTCTTCAAATAGTCCAGCTTCTTAGATTATTTGCTTAGCATACAGATTGAATAAGTATGCTGAAAGGATCCAACCCTGATGCACTCCCTTCTTCATTTTAAACCATGCAATGTCCCCTTGTTCTGTGTGAACAATAGCCTCCTGGTCAATGTACAGGTTCCCCATGAGCACAATCAAGTGTTCTGAAATTCCCATTCTTCTCAATGTTATCCATAATTTGTTATGATCCACACAATCGAATGCCTTTGCATGGTCAATAAAACACAAGTAAACATCTTTCTGGTATTCTTTGCTTTGAGCCAAGATCCATCTGACATCAGCAATGATATCTCTCATTTCATGTCCTCTTCTGAATCTAGCTTGCATTTCTAGAAGTTTTCTGTCAGTATACTGCTGTAACCATTTTTGAATTATCTTCAGTAAGATTTTACTTGTGTGCAATATTAATGATATTGTTTGATGATTTCCACATTCTGTGGGATCACCTTTCTTTGGAATGGGTACAAATATGGATCTTTTTCCAGTCAGTTGGCTAGGTAGTTGTCTTCCAAATCTCTTGGCATAGCCAAGTGAGTGCCTCTAGTGCGGGATCTGTTTGTTGAAACATCTCTATGGGTATCCCATCAATTCCTAGAACCTTGCTTTTTGCCACTTTCCTCAGGGCAGCTTTGACTTCTTCCTTCAATGCCATTTGTTCTTGATCATATGCCACCTCCTCAAAAGGATGACATCAACCAATTCTTTTTGGTACAGTGACTCTGTATTCCTTCCATCTTCTTTTGATGTTTCCTCCATCATTCAATACATTGCCCATAGAATCTTTCACTAATACAACTCAAGGCTTAAACTTCCTCTTCAAATCTTTCAGCTTGAGAAATGCCAAGCATGTGTCCTTCCCTTTTGGCTTTCCAACTCCATGTCTTTGCACATTGCATTATAATAATTGACTTTGTCTTCTGGAGCTGCTCTTTGAAATCTGTTTAGCTCTTTCATCTTGTAATTTCTTCCATTTGCTTTAGCTACTCTCTGTTCAAGGGCAAGTTTCAGAGTCTCTTCTGACATCCATTTTGGTCTTTTCTTCCTTTCCTGTCTTTTTAATGACCTTTCGCTTTCTTCATGGATGATGTCCTTGATGTCATCCCACAATTCCTCTGGTTTTCGGTCATTAGTGTTCAGTGCATCAAATCTATTCTTTAAATGGTCTCTAAATTCAGGAGGGATATAATCAAGGTCATATTTTG